TAATACAAATTGGTATAAAAAAAAATAAATAATATATTATAGCATTAAATTAAAAAATAATTGATAAGTAGATAAAATCACTCACTGAAAATTAAATTCGAGCTTTAAAATACTTTTTCTTGGATATTCTTTCTTAATATTTATTTCATTTATATTTTAATATCTTTTCCTAGTATTGAATTAATCCTTAAGATTTGCGTAAATTTAATAACAAATAAAACATCATCAAAAAATAACACAAAAACAATATATTGAATCAACATATCTATTCTTTATTTTATTATAACCAATACTGATTACTAATACAGCATTGATCACTTAAAATTCAATAGAATTAAATTTAGTTTTTTTTAATTTTTCATCTACATTATTATATTTTAATATTAAACACTTCTAAATCATTAAATTCTGATTTTGAACTTTTAAAACTAATTTTGAAACTCGGAAAATTTTTATATAGTATGAATTCTAAAAATTTTTTTCGTTTTATGCAAGAGTTTTTAATATCTTGGATTCATTCTTCCATTAAATCCTCAATATGTTATTTTTTTAAAAAAAAGAAAAAAGAATTGAGCTCTAGAGGAAATAAATTGCATAAATTGCTACATTTTATAGAAAAACTTATTATATAGTAGATATAATGGCTAGAAAAATCTATGGGCATTTAAGACAAAATATTATAATTTCTAAACTAATCTATTTTTGACTTAAAATCTTAATATTCTTTTTAAGAGGATTATATATAAATTGATGGAAAAAGAGTATAATATTAAAAAAAATATTAATTTTTAATTTTTGATTTTAATTTTTAAATAAAAATCATAATTTTAATAAAATTATCAATTATATTCAATTATTATTTATTTTTTATATTAAATTATTTAATAAGACATAAAAATATAATTTGAATATATAATTCAAGTATATAAAAAAATATTTTTTAAAAATGTATATAAAAAAAATTATATATTTGAATTATATTAAATTATGCCAAATATATAAAAGAAATATATAAAAGAATTAAATAGAAATTAATAAATAGAATAGTAATAAAGTTTTTTGAAGAATTTTAAATTAAATTTAGAATTTTTTATTTGATAAAAAAAAATTAAATTAAATTAAAAAACTTTTTATTGTTTATTTTATGTTGTTTGGACTTATTTGTTCAAGTTTAATGGTATATATTTAATATTATAATCGTAACTCAAGAAATCTATGCACTCTATGATTGATGAATATTTTTTGTTAATAAAGCCTAAATGAAAGCAAAATGTTGCTTGAAATTACCTAAAGAATTAATTAAAATATCCTAAGAATCTTTTGTTCAATATTTCTATATTTTTGGGACATCTTCTAATATGCTTTACAATAATATATATTATTTTTAAAATACTTAATACTTTATATTTTATTTACCTATAAGATGGACATTCCTGTAAAGCTATAGATGTTATTAAGGATGATTGAAACCAACCATTGAATTGATCATAGCCTTCTAAATAAAGATTTGCTTTTCCATTTGGTAGAATCATTGACCATGAAATTCCGCTATCAAACCAAATATCCATAATATCCTAAAAAATTTTCATATCAATAAATAATATATTTAATTTTAATTGTCGTTTCTCTTATGCATCTTAAATAAATATTTGATAAATAGAATTTACATTTCCTTTTTCTACATCATCTGCTGCAATATTCAATTTTTCAATCATATCTAATCCTATTAAATCTTTTACTGAATATTCCCACCAACAATCAGGACCATACTTGTCTATGGAATTGCATAATCGTTCAACTATTTCTCTGAAAAAATAAAAAATAATATAAAGAAGAATCTATACATAAAAATTATATAATATAATAATATATTTATAATAAAGAATGTAAATAATAACATATACATAAGCTTACTCATTTGTAAATGCTTTACCCGTTGTTTTACTATACACTACAGGTATAGGTGTCCCCCAAGAACGTTGTCGCGAAATACACCAATATGGTCGATTTTTTATTCCAGTAAGTAAAGCATTCATAAAAGATGTACGATTACATTTAGGATATATATCTATATCTTTGATACTATCCTTATAAAATTAATAAAATAAATAGAAAAAAAGTTAATATATTTCTATCATAATTTATAAGTAACATAATATTAATAAAATGACTTACAATAATTTTTTCCTTGATAGAATTTATATCAATGAACCATTGATTACTCGCACGAATAAGAACTGGTTTTTTCGTTCGCCAATCATATGGATAACTATGTGTTAATGTTTCTACATGCAAAATATCTTGATTCAAAAGATCTATCACTTTATCAACTCCTTCTGTTAATACTTGTAGTCCACAAAATTGTGAACCAGCTTCTTTAGTATATCGACCTTCAGTGTCAACTATAGATAACTATAGCACATTTACTTATCATGAGATATTAATGTTATTCATACAATATTATTATATAATTGATATTATTTGATATTATTTTTATTATTTTAATTAAAAATAAATTACAATATATAATTTAATAACTTACAATATGAATTTTATTTTCTAATGCAACTAAAAAATCTTCTGGACCATGTGCAGGAGCAGTATGAACCAATCCTGTTCCCAAATTTGTTATAACATGATTTGCAGCTAAGAAAGGGCATTTGTGCTTTGTGAAAGGATGAAAATATGTGCTGTTCTCTAATTCTCTCCCTAATAAAACTTATCTACATTATTATTAATGTAATTCAAAATAAAAAAAAATTACAAATATATTTAAAAAATATTTAAATTTGATTTTTAATCAAATTTACCTTTAAAACATATTAATGTTTTCAAAGAACCAAGTTTTAATTCAATAGTACTTAATAAATCTTGTGCAATAATATATAAATCTTTTGAATTATTTTCAACAAGACAATATGTAGCATTTGCGGAAAAAGTTATAGCTTGATTAGCTACTAAACTCCATGGTGTAGTAGTCCATATTAATGCATATATAGTATGATTTTTAAATGAATTTAAATTTACTGGAATATTATCAATATATAGACGAACAATAACAGCTTTACTTTGGTGTTGTTGATTATATTCTAATTCGGATTCAGCTAATGCTGTTCTGTAATATATATAAATATAAGAAAAATTTTATTTATAAAAATTAAATTATTTAATTTTGGACATTTAACCTTGAAGATGGAGACCAATAGACTGGCATAAAATCCCTAAATATGATACCTTTCTTATATAATTTTATGAATTGACGAAGTTGATTTTTTATATATGATGAATGACTGGTAAAATAATATCCAGATTCATTCCAATCAGCTGTCACACCCCATGATTGAAAAGCTTCTTTCTGTTTAATAATAGCTTCTTCAGCATATTTACGAGCTAAATTCATATAAAAAGAGAAAAAATGAAAAATATAAAAATATATCTATATCTATATCTATATCTATATCTGAAAATATGTAAATATCTTGAAAATTATATATAATACAATAATAAAAAAAATTCAACAGAAAATTCTATTCTATTCTATTTCATTTAATAATTCTATTCTATTTCATCTTATTAATGATTCTATATACATTATATATATTATATATATTTAAGTATAGTATAATTTAAATTACATTTTTTTAAATTAATTAAATTTTTTTTATATTTTTATAATTGATATCAAAATATTTTCCAATTATTTCATATTTTATTAACATATATATAACTTTTTAAATTGAGATATTAAATCTCAAACTTAATATACTGTCAGTATCATTCATGTTCATATATATTAAATGATCTTTCTAAAAGCATAAATTAGTTGTTTTTCTATCAAAAAATATATAACTTTTTACTAATCCTTTTTAAGATCACTTTTTTAAAGCAATTTTTGATTAAGCAACCTGTACATATATATTAAATAATGACGATATATATTAAATAATGCTGGCGATATATCAAGTTTATAGATATAATATTTCAATGCAAAAAATGAAAATAATTTTAAAATTGTTTTGATGTCTAAAAACATGGAATAAAAAATATAATTCTCATTTAAAAAAATAATTATATTTTAAGGATTTAAATTCATTCATAGTTTTCAAAATATATTTCAGATAAAATGAAATAATAAAATATACATTATAGAAAATAAATATTTAGCTAACAATAACAAAAAAGATTTATTAATTAAGAATCTATTAATTATACCTTTCTTTCTAATTTCTAAGGGATTTTCAGCATTGTTATGTACAGCTTTTAGCTCAATTGGTAAACCATGACAATCCCAACCTGGTACATAATGAACTCGATTTTGATTTATAATCTTATATCTTAATGTTATATCCTTAAGAATCTATAAGGATTTATAAAATAATATAATATTATATAATATGTATATCTATATCTATATGTATATATATATAAATAATATGTATGTATATAAATAAATTACAAAATAAAACCTTATTAATAGCATGTCCCATATGGGGAATTCCATTTGCATAAGGAGGTCCATCATGTAAAATAAAATCTGGTCCTGAAAGATTTTTCTTTTGCCAATCATACAAGTCAGAAAAACCACACTTCTACAAGAAAACAAATATATAAATAAATTATAAAATATTATAAAATATAGATAAACAAATAATATAATATTATAAAATAACTTACTTCAGTTAAATATTTATCTTCCTGTATTCGTATTTTACCATTTAAATGTACACGAAATTGAGTTTGTGGAAGTAAAATAGTTTCGGAATATTTGCCTTGTTTTTTTGATTTGGTTTTTGTGTAACTTTTAATAGTATCTGCTAATTCATCATTTGTTTTTCGTTTTAAGATTTGATTTGTAATTAATGTTCGTTTAATTATAAATCTATACATATTTACTATTTTATTCACTGAACATATTTATACAATTCGTTCGTAATACGTATACAGTTCGTAATATAGATATTAAGTAAAAAATGCTATTATACTAATCTGAATTAAACATTAAATCAGATTAAGCTTGATCTATTATTATACATTTTCAATTATACGAATACAATTTTGTTAATAATATAATAAAAAATATAAAATATACTTAATATAATTTAATTATTCTTATTACATACAATACCAAAAGTTATCTTTAACATACATATATAAACTACTAAGATTAATATCGAGTTTATTTTCTCTTAGGTATTAGAATATTTATTCTATTTATTTTTTTTTTCTACATAATATTAAAATTTATCAAATATAAAGTTTCAAATGTAATTTGAGAGAAAATTTAAAAAGAGAAAGTAATATTGAAGTATAAAACGCAAGGGATTTAATTGTACCATAGGTAGGTTAGTTCGTTCTAGTTTGTCCCCAACTGATCCAATTTCAATCTTGTGTTTGGTTATTATTAATGAAACATGGCTACAGTTTTCGAAAGTTCATTCTTATCAAATAGAGTACATCGTATCGAGGAACGATATGAAGAATCGACAAACACATTTGGCAAATGTGACTGCACTAGCTATAGCTATCTTGCCTTGAGCGTCATTCTATTCATGATTGGAACCGCTATTACTATTTTTTCTTTGGACGATATCGTAGGTGAACACATATTTTTTAAACTTGGTCACATGTGGCTTATTGGTCCAATATTTATTTGTTCTGGACTAATGGTGGCTGTCAAATGTATGCTTTATCTTCGACGAAAATCTGTTATACAAATGATCTTTCATCAACGACAATTGTTCAGAGTAAGTAATTATTTTTTTATATGATCTATTTAATATCTGGAAATATTCTACCAATAATTAGTTTTAATTTTATATTCAATTTCGTATATTCAATATAATTTTTTTATGAGATTGATGTTATTGACTATATAATAAAAATTGTTGCATTAGTAGAAATATACATATATTTCCTATACATATTTTTTATACATATATTTACATATATGTTAATAATTTCAAATATCAGAATCTTTTAATATAAGATCTTTTAATAATAATAATAATCTCAGAATCATAATCAGAATCTTTTAATATAAGATCTTTTAATAATAATAATAATCTCTTAAATATTTAATATACGAAATATGTATTTATGTATATAGTATTAAATGTATTTAGCTATCAATTAATATCAAAATAAATAAATTTATTAATAATTCGAGATGATTTAATCGTTAAATACAGCATTTACAGGAATTAAGTGGTACTCGTGGTATTGAACGTATTGATATACAAACTCCAGGTCCACCTTCTTATGAAGCAATTGCTCAGGAAAACTGTAATGAATTACCTCCGCCTTCTTATACAGAAGCGGTAGCGCTTATACGCAAAATTGGAAGCAGTAAGAATTTTTCATTCTACTATAATATTTTATTATTAACATTATAGCATTTTTTTTTCTTCCACGCTTTAGATACCAAATCAAATAGTGCAACTGTTTCTTGTGATAGCATCGCTATTGATCAAAACGTCAGGTGTAAACCTTGAAACAGTATTTTTTTTCGATCGGAAGATTGATCACAATAAAAGCAGTAAATTATCTTATTAAATTATGAACGATTGTTCGTCTTTTTTATGTTTGTTTGTTACATTGAACATTCTTTTTTTCTATTATAAAAAAATGTTACTATCGCGTATCTTATACATTAAAAAATAAGGGAAAAAAAGATGTATTCAATATATGCACTTATTAGAATATTAATATCAATGAAACAATGATAAACATATGCAACGATTACATATATTTTTTTTATAAAAAATATTTAAATTGAAAAAAATTTATAAGATATGTCAATCATTCAATTAATGAAAGAATTTCTCACAAAATGAAGTCATGCAGAAAATTTATACATTAATATAATAACTAGTATAAGTTTTTTTAAATATACAAATTTTTATGAATATAATACGAAAAATTCAAATAATTCATATAAAAATTTTTATGTTATATCTTTTATAGAAAAATGAATTTTATAAATTGAAAAAGAAGTTGCAATAATATGATAAATCTTATTTATTTAAATATGTTGTTTCAATTCATATTAAAAGTAAAATTTAGTAACATAATTATCATTGAAATTTTTAATAATTAAACAATTATCATTATCATTATAGAGTTAGAGAGTGTGTAAGTTTTTATTACAAATTTATTCAAATTTAACATTTATAAAATAAAAAACTTACGCATTATGCGTATTAAATATTATGACAAATTACAAAAACAAGAATATAAAAAAGATATTACGTTATTAGCAAAATTTGTAAAAAATTTGATTGTTTATTTAAAATGTATTACTTAATATTAAAACGAATAAAAAACGACGTTTTATGTTTTGCATAATGTTTATTTTTAAGATATAGTACACGCGTTAAAAACAGACCAAAAGCAACTCTTTAAATGTTTTTTTAAAGTTTTTTAAAGTTTTATAGAAAGTATACAATTATTTATGTGCAGTCATTTTATGGAAATAACTTTTATAAAAGGATTATATAAAGAAGAAAATTAAACAAGTTTTGATACAAAGAGAAGAAAGAAAGGAGAAAAAAAAATAGGGAAAAAGAAAAAGTGAAAATTTATCTTTCAGGATTGAGCTACAGCCAACATTTCTTCTTGATGAATAAGATGAGTTGTATGATTGACAAGACTCATTAATTTTGATAAAGATGCAGCCCATGCGTCCAAAAGAGCAGCCGGCTCTTGGGTTCCTGTAAAACGAACCACACCGGCTGGACGATCTGTACGGGCATTTATCACACCAGTTTCTACTAAACTGCACAAACATGCTTCAGTTTCTTCAACTGGTAAATCCAATAATTCAGCCATGCGAGTCAATGTAATTTTTGTGTAATATTTTGCCATAATCCTGATATTCTATAGTGAAATAAATATTCAATATAATTTTGTTAAAATAAAATGAAATTCTTAGTTTTTAAACTTACATGTTCGACAACACGATTTCGAAGATCGGCCCACCGTTTACGTCCTTCTTCAGTCCATAGGCTAAAAACTTCTGTAGCTTTAAGATCTCTTTCGTAAATTTCGCAAAGTCCTGACCATTTTATTAGTTCTGGATTTACAAAAAGTCTTAATAATTCTCTAAACAAAATAAAAATTTATTAATATAAAAAATAAGAGATTCATACTTAAATTTTTTTTTTAAAATGAATAAATAGTACTTGTATGTTGGTATCTCATCAAGAAGTTTATCAGAAAGCAACCTATGAGTCAAATCAGCTTGTTCTGGTTCATGTGGTGCAAGTACAAGATAGAGAACAGCTCGTGAAAGTGCAGCATGTCTTTTTTCAGAATTATCTCTAACTGCTGGAGTTTCCAATACTGCTCGATTATGTCTACATAATTCTAAATGCCAACCTTCATGACGAGCCAATTCCATCATTAGACTGAAATAAAATTTTTTTCTAATAATAAATTTTAAAGCTTTATATTCATCAATTCAAATTAATAATTATTAATTTACTCATAATATTTCAATTTAAGAGATTGTGTTTCTTCATCATTTTCATCACTAAAAAATTTAACATTAATTTTTTTAGCTATTATTTGAGTGCGCATAAAATCTTTTTTTGCTAAACATAATCGCATTTGCTCTAGGATAAGAGATGCTTTTTCTAAACGTGACATACTACCATATGTTTCAACCTAAAATAGATATAATTTTATTATACATAATTTTTAACTATCTATTATATTATTTTTTTTTAAAAATTCCATACTTGTAATTCAAGCATAACAGCTGCTGCACCTGAAATATCTCCATCTTCTTCTTTGATTTTTGCCAAACGATGAGTAAGTCTTGCTCTTTCAACTTCTACATATATCTTTGACAAGAATTACTTTTTATTATTTATATTTTTAATATTATTGATTTTTTAGATATTTAAAAATTTAATTTGAAATAATCACAAAGTCTAGATACTTTACCTTTCCTTCTGTTACAGTACGTAATGTTTCTATTAATTTAATTTTAGTTTCTTTATCAGGCATTTTATCTATGTAAGTACAACATTCTTGAACCATTGCTGTAACAGCTCGTTTTAATTGAGAACGTCTTTTGGATAACAATACTATGTGTTCATTTAATACTGCCCAATTCTTTGCTTCTAAACAAATTTGAACAATAGCAACAAGAATTCGTGATGTAGATGCCACATCTGCACTCTAAAAAATATTTTTATTATTTGCATATTTTAATCACAAACATAAATATAAAATTAAATATAAAATTAATTAAAAGCTTAACTGTTCGTGCTAGTTTTTCTAATGCTAGTAATTGATCCAAAGCATCATGTAACTTTCCTTCACTTGCTAATTTTTTACATTCTGGAATTTTAACATCACAATTGCTACTATAATCCACCTCCATTTTTAAAATTTTATTAAAATCCAATAATCTTGCCCTTTATTAATTAGAAGAATAATCAATTAAAGTATTTAACATTAAAAATATAAATAAATTATAAATTTAAAAATATCAATAATTTACCTTAATTAAATATCTACAAATTATAAAGCAAACTTTTTTCAATGAAATAATTCTGGTACTTTCTCTTTATCAAAAAAATTGTTTTATTTGATCAAATATAATAGGAAAATATAAATATTTTTTTTAAGAAATATTTTCTTCACATATGATTTTTTATATAAAATTCACGTAAATCTAAAATGTTTCTCATTCCACATGACTTAAAACTGATTGTCATCCACCATTTGTAAAACAGTACCAATAAATGTTAAAGTTAACCACAGTCTACTTTAAATACATAGAAGCTATGATATTAAATTTGGCAACATTGCTTTTGCTATTGGAATTGGAAGTCAATATAAATTTTTAATTTGTAAATAATATATAAATATTATATATATTATATTATATATAATTATAATAAATAGAATAATATAATATAATAATATATAATATATAAATATTATATGTTATAAAAGAATATATATAAATTTCGTATAAGTTTAAGGTTATAATGCTTATAGCATTTATATTTAAAATATTTATATTTAAACAAATATTAATATAAATTTAAATTATTTTATAAAATAAAATTGTAATTTTTAAAAGTGAATAATTAAGTACATAATAAGCTATTAAAAATAAAAATGAATAATAAAGACAATTCTTAAAAAAAATTATTAAAGAAAAGATCTTTGCAATCGATTACAAATATTAAATCATATTAAAAT